TGGCCCCTGTGCCTGCTTGCAGGCACTTTAATCCGCTGAGCTGTTTGTCTGGCCCTTAGTATTGCTTTAATTTGTATTCCTTGAATGGCTAGAGATGCTGAATGGTTTTTTTTTTTTTTTCTGAATGTTTTTAATGTACTGATTACTCATTTGTACTTCTAAAAATTATCTTCATTTAAGTTGCCCACTTTTTGATTGGGTCTTTTATTTTTGGGGAATCTAATATTTTATTTTTTTAAATTTAACTTTCATTTTATTTTTTGATACAGGGTCTAACTATGCAGTCAGACTTACAGTGATCCTCCTGTCTCAACCTCCCTCCTACTGGGATTACAGGTGTGCACCACCACACCAGGTTACAGGACTGGCATTGTGCACTCTCTGGAGCCTGCTCAGCGTGTGGTACTAGCGATCGAACCTGGGTCTTTGCGCTTGCCAGGCAGGCACTTATGCAGCTGAACTATCTCCCCAGACTTTTTTTTTTTGTGTGTGTGTGTGGGGTAAGTTTCTTGCTATATAGTTCAGGCTGGCCTTAAACAGTGGTTGGGCTGGGGATTCAGATCAGTAGCACAGCACCTGCCTGACAAGAACAAGGTCATGAGTTCAATTTCTTTTTTCTTTTTCTTTTTTTTTTTTTTTTGTATTTTAGTACAGGGTCTATAGGATCTTACTACACAGATCGGACTCATAGTGATCCTCCTGTTTTCAGCCTCCCAAGCACTGGGATTACAGGCATGCACCGACACCCTCAGTCTCAATCACCATCTCAGCACTCCCTGAGGATGGGGCCAGCACGGCTTGCTGGGGATTGAACCCCCATCCCTGCATCTGCCTAAGAAGGTGCTTTAGTCTGCTGAGCTATCTGGCTGGCCCTATGAGTTCAATTTCTGATACCACAAAAACAAAAAAAACCTCAGAGTGGTCCTCCTGCCTCAGCCTCCTAAGGGCTGGGATTGCCTGTGTGCACCACCATGTTCAGCTGCATGGGACGGGGTGTCTGAGTTTTTTGAGGTTTTTCATCTACTCTAGTTATTAGCACTCTGTCTAGGCAATAAGTAGAAAAAAATTCTTCCCTTTCTGTAGATTGTTTCTTCACTCTGTTGGTTGTTTCTTTTGCTGTGCAGAGCTCTTCGATTTAATACAATCCCACTAGTTGATTCTTGATGCTAATTCTTTTTTTTTTAATTTTTATTTTATTTATTTATTTATTTATGAGAGAGAGAGAGAGAGA